TGCCCCCGGCATCAGACCGATCCAAGACACCCGGCAGAGGGCGAAGATTGTTCGTCGCCAAAAGGAACACCACCATGTAAGTTCGGCAGGGACACCAGGCGGCCACAAAACAAGCACACACGCGCCTGTCGGCACTTTCCCGTAATAGTTTGTTGCCCTACAGTTGTCGGTTGCCCCGATTTTGATTCCTGTCCCGCGTGAATGCCCCCCTCCTGGTTACGTTTGATGAGCAACCCATGGTCATGGTGTTGATGTGTTTGGCGTCGTTCATGATAGGCCGCTTGCACAGGCTGGCGCCTACGCTAGCTTTCCTCCTCTTGACTCTTCCGTCTCTCCCCTGCGCGGCGTGGAAACACCGACGCCTCCGTTGTCCAGTAGACGCCCTCACCGCGCTCGCCGCCGGTGGTAGCGGACATTCTCCTTTTTCGCGATCGCTTGGGATGTGATTAGAACATGATATGTTTTGGTTCACGTCCGCCACAGGGGCCCGTGGCGATCCAACATGAGGTCGAAGAGCTCCTGAACGTTATCCAAGTTTATCTTACGGAGTCACGCGAACCCTGTGTCGTGGTCTCTCCCCTGTTCGTGTAGGAATGGATTGTTTGTGATACTCTTCCAACATAAAGCCGCACGACGGCTACATGAACGTGCCTTATCCTCGACGTTCGTCGACGCAGATCGTGTCGAAGGACAGAGAACTCCTGACGTCACGCATGGAGGCCGCCAGACGAGAGCAGGCGAACGGAACCCCGCTAAACCAAGTGACCATTCAACAAGACTGTGCCTGCCAGATTCGCTACGCGTTAGGGACCGTCCACCCTCAAACTCACGTGTCTGAGAGGCAAGTGATCTGGTTCCCTCGTGATTGTACTCCGGTCGTCTCTTGGCAAAACAAGTACGTGACACGAGAACAGTACCTTAGTTCGTAGTGGCACGCTGCGGTTCAGATGGAATGACAGCCATTGACAAGTTATTTTGGTCCAATGCAACGGTGTCACGATTCGTGTAAGCTCAATCAAAATGGGTCGATAAACGTCTACCGTATAGTCCACCCCATCTCCAACATCTCACCATCTGTTGAGTGAGTTGTTATCCATCTATATGTCGACATACTTTGATGATGTTGACGGGTTCCAGTTATTTTCCCTTTTATTTTCACCTCACCGCGTGTAGAGGAGGTTGGACGGCTCCAAACTTGCTCTTTATTTCATCTTCTTGTTCTTTTATCTTATTTTATCCCTGTGCTGACCTTTCGGGTTCATTATGTTTTAGTACGACGTATACTTGTAGCTGATACCTCTTTTGATGCACGTTAGCCTGTGACCACGGGAATTGACCGCGAACAATGCTGGATTATGGCAGAGAGATTGTGACAGAAGGAGGTACTGGATAGGGAATACGGGACCTTGTTTATTGTGACGACTACTGCAATCTTATCATCGCCTTCCTGCACAACCGTTCGCGTTCACGACTTCAGCGGCTTTTCGGAGCGGCAGAAGGTCATGGCCGTCCAGGCAGAAGGGGCGTTCGTGGACGTCCATTTCGTCCCGCAGACAACAGGTGGAGGTGAGAGGCTTTAAACCTGCATCAAGGCACCCCTTCTGGCAGTTACCTCATGTGCGGGTGTCGCAGGAAGGCCTCAAGTACACAGCTGGTCACCCGATGGGCCACTTTGAAATTCCAAGGGAGCCGTGAATATGTGCAACCTAGCTGTCAGTGCCAAAAAGACGTGTCAGGCGGAACCGCACAAGGTCCCTGAGCCAGCCATTGTGCACAGATGAATCACTAACGAAACAGTAGGTTATTTCACTAACGATACAGGCTTGGTGGGGACCATAATTCCCCTGAACCGTCCGTTCATATTTCATGTGTTCGTCTTTGTCTGGTCTTCCAGGGAGCAACCTGGTGTGCACGGCGCTGTGGTTGGCCCTCAAACGACTGTCTGCAATGTGGACCAAGCCTGGCCAGAGGTTCTACATCAAGCGTCTCCACCTTCAGCTCGATAACTGCGTCGGCGAAAACAAGAACAACATCGTCCTGGCCTTCATTGGCGGATTGGTCGCCGCCGGGGTGATCGGTTCTGCAGAGGTCTGCTTCCTGATCGTTGGACACACGCACATCAAAATCGACCAAGTGTTTTCTCGGTGAGTACCCTTGTAACATCGGAGCCCCTTGTTTGGCCACCCTGCTGCCCCCCCCCCCGGTGGAGGATCGCTTTCTGGGCGTACCCCCCGGTTTTTCAGCATTCAATATCGTCCCCCCCATGAAACCCAAGATTTACATTACAGAACGCGCCCGCAAGTAAGATATGGGGCGAGCCTCAGTTTCCTATTGTCGGCCGAAGCCCAAGCCTCGTTGCTGAGCTTGTTTGGGCAGTTCTTATTTCTTGGGGCCTTGCGGGATATTGAGGGTTACCTTGTAAACAACCCCCAAAAAGGTAGCCCACGTCCACGTTGCAGCCGCCATTCGCCCTCGAGTCTAATGAAGCCACCTGCGGTGGGTTCTTGCGTATCGCTGTATTTGTCTGACATCCAAGACAGCCACCCATGCCCGATACAACAAAAACTCTTACCCACATATAGGGGTAGGGGTGGGTACTGGAGTTCAACGGCCGTTTAATATTTTCACACTCGCTCTACCTAACTTCGTTTCCCATGGTGGTGGAGCGGTCCTGCTCGCAATATCTTATTGGGGTGTTTCTTACTTCGTGGTCCTGGTTGAGCTCCTCGCCCTGACGACTCCCACTCAAACCCACAGGTTCTCCGTGGGTACCCTCGGCCGAAGCATCTTCACGAGGGNTCCTCGCCCTGACGACTCCCACTCAAACCTACAGGTTCTCCGTGGGTACCCTCGGTCGAAGCATCTTCACGAGGAGTCAACTTGGTGAGCTATTCCGGGAGTCGTACAAGGAACTTCCGGTACACGTAGGGACTCTGACCAACCTCGGCAACTTCAAGGGGCTCTACCTCGACGACAACAAGCTCAACCTTCGGAAGATCCGGAACATCACCACGTTTCGGGCCTTCCGAGTGGGGAAGGTAGCAGGGGAGGTTTCCGTGTGGGCCAAGCGCTTCATGCACAGCGATGCCTGGCTTGATCTGACAGCGACCGGCGGGGCCCAGGTCGCCGCCAACCCACACCGGCTCTTCCGGTTCGCTGCGCCGACTTTCGACAACGTGCCTCCTTTTGAGCTCAAGACGGTCGACCCCACCGTGATCGCCCTCATCGAGAAGCGCTACATCGCGACGCGGCCCCGCCTAGAGGCTGCTTACGCACTAGGTAAGGGGCGTGCACATGTGTAGTATGGTCGTGCTTCGCTCGNCTCATCGAGAAGCGCTACATCGCGACGCGGCCCCGCCTAGAGGCTGTTTACGCACTAGGTAAGGGGCGTGCACATGTGTAGTATGGTCGTGCTTCGCTCGGCCTCACAGAGCATGAGAGTGGTTACACCTTTCGAATGTAAGATTGGCATTACCTTCCTGGCTAAACCATTCTGACAACGAAGAAAACACGTTCGGAGCTACGGTCGCTCGGAGGACAACA